AGTTCTAATTTGATTGCCCTGTGGTCTGAGAGACTGTTATGATTTCTGTTCTTTTGCATTTGCTGAGGAGTGAGTTACTTCCAATTATGTAGTCAGTTTTAGAGTAGGTGCAATTTGGTGCTGAGAAGAACGTATATTCTGTGATTTTGTGGTTGAGATTTCTGTAGATATCTATTTGGTCTGCTTGGTTCAGATCTGAGTTCAAGACCTGGATATCCTTGTTAATTTTCTGTCCCGTTGATTTGTCTAATACTGAGAGTGGAGTGTTAAAGTCTCTCACTATTATTGTGTGGGTGTCTAAGTTTCTTTGTAGATCATTAAGTACTTGCTTTATGTACCTGGGTGCTCCTATATTGAGTACGTATATATTTAATATCGTTAGCTCTCCTTAATGCATTGATCCTTTTACCATTTTGTAATGCCCTTCTTTGTCTCTTTTGAGCTTTGTTGGTTTAAAGCCCATTTTATCAGAGACTAGGATTGCAACTCCTGCTTTTTTTTGCTCTCCATTTGCTTGATAAATCTTCCATCCCTTTATTTTTAGCCTATGTGTGTCCTTGCACATGAGATAGGTTTCCTGAATACAGCACCCTGATGGGTCTTGACTTTTTATCCAATTTGCCAGTCTTCGTCTTTTGATTGTGGCATTTACCCCATTTTCATTTAAGTTTATTATTATTATGTGTGAATTTGATCTTGTCATTTTGATGCTAGTTGGAGATAAGTTCTTCTATAGCGTTTCGTTACACTGATCTCTTGTACTTCAGACTTGCGAAGCCCATTTATGGCTTAAAGTCTTTGTAGTAGGACGTTGCCTGGGATTCCCTTCTCCAGAGTATTCATGTGGCTGATTTTTTTTTAATTAACAGATAGAGACCAGTAGAAGATCTTAGTTTGAAGGTTGCAGTATGTCCCCACAAGATACTGATCAATTAAAGAGCAAACAATGCAAATTTACAGGGGAAAACCTAGGAAATTATAATGTGACCATGTTAGCTTCACTAGCTCTGCGATGAGTTGACATTTGTGCTTTCTGAAGTGGTGCCCTGAGAAAAACACAGCTTCTTGTCTGTGGGTTTACTGCGAAAGATAATATGACCTGGATCTGATCATTAAGAAACATTTACACACCTAGATTCTGGGTCATCCTGCAGATTATAAGGTCTGTATCCTTTATAACCTGCTGAGGACATGAAAGAGAGAACCTGAGAAAGTATTTCAAATTGAAGGAACCTGATGACACATGTCAATTAGATATAATGTATACGGGTTTGTGGGCCAAAAAGGAAAAGAGAACATTGTTGACAAAATAGTTGACAAGATTTGAATGGGGTCTGTAGATTTGGGTGTTATTGGTAGTGTTATCAGTATTGATTTCCCAACTTACATAGGGAAATATCCTTGTTTTAGAAAACTACATACTGGGATATTTGGAGGTAATGGGGTATCAAGTCAGCAGCCTTGCTTTTAAATGCTTCAGAGAAAAGATTAATGGTAATAGAGTTATATGGAGAGAGGGGGAGGGAAGAAAGGCAGTGATGGAGATATGGGAGATATTTGTACTGTTCTTGAAACTTTTGTAAGTTTGAAATTCAAAATTATTTTAAGTGTATAGGAGGTTGTATAGAAGCAATAGTGAGCATTCAGTGCGTTCGGGAGTAATGGAAAAGAAAGGCAGCGTATGGTAATTTAGAGGACGATAAATAAGTGTGAATAGAGAGGAAGGAACTACTAAGATAGCAAATTGAAGATATGAGAGGAGATTATTGATATGTAATGACTTTTTTTTTTTTTTGAGACAGAGTTTCGCTCTTGTTACCCAGGCTGGAGTGCAATGGCGCGATCTCGGCTCACCTCAGCCTCCGCCTCCTGGGTTCAGGCAATTCTCCTGCCTCAGCCTCCTGAGTAGCTGGGACTACAGGCCCACGCCACCATGCCCAGCTAATTTTTGTATTTTTTTTTTTTGTTTTTAGTAGAGACGGGGTTTCATCTTGTTGACCAGGATGGTCTCGATCTCTTGACCTCGTAATCCACCCGCCTCGGACTCCCAAAGTGCTGGGATTATAGGCTTGAGCCACCGCACCCAGCCGATGTAATGATTTTTAAAGAGGTGGAATGTATAAAAATAGTAGTGTGAACTTTTTAGAAAGGTAGTTATTAGGTCCACAATTAACAGATTCTACTTTTCAATATGAAATATTTTATCTAGTGAGAGTCTTGATTATGAAATGGGCTGGATTCTAGAAATTAGTGATAAAGCTTGGGTAGTAGAAGAGTATTGAATATGGACAGTTAGAAAACATGATTGCCTAGCGTACCAAGTAAATAGAAGATTCATGAATTCATAATGTTGTGGAATTAGTATGCTTATATTCCTTACCATAATGTTTCTTGGGATCCTGGTAGCAGTGTCAGAGCAAGTGATGGTTATATTGATACCGGGTTGGTCATTAGTGGTATAGATAATCAAGGATCAAGAATGAAATTAGGCATGTGTTGAAATGTTTGACCTTGAAGTTTAGGCTGATTTGTAATGGAAATGAAACATCTGATAGATTGGTAAGAAAGAATATAAATGACCTTGAAAAACATTGAACTAAATTTAAATTGTAAACAATTCTTAGTTTTGCTAGAAAAGCAGGTTACTTTTTAGCTTGAAGAGGAAAATGAAATTGGAGTTAATATGACAATATAGACAACATTTTTGGCATTCATTTCTACTGCTTGTTCTAATGGCAATAATATGAGATCTCTGACTCATAAAGCTGTAAAGTAGCCTCAAGACAAACTAGAATTCTCTTTGTTGACTCTGCCGGATAACAGTAGGTTTTCAAGGAAAGCCAAATTCTCTTAAGATATTTTAGCTAAAAAAAAATCACATAATTTATTTTATTTCCATGTCACAGTAGTAATCTTTGTATAACTGATGCCTGTCTTTTAGGTATATAGGTATTTTTAACTTTCAGGTTTCTCAGGTTATCTGAACAGAAGTAAACTGTTTCCAAATGTGTATAGTTTTCTGCTTGTGTTATTGAGCAGAGGAGGCTTGCTGCCCAGTGTGCTAGAAGCCACTACTCTGACAGTGGGATTTGGAAAAAAGAAAAGCTTTATATTGAAAGTCAGCTTCCAAGAAGACGGGTCAAGCTCCAATCTGTCTCCTCACACTGGTTTCAAGGCATTATTTTTATTAGCAGTTCAGTGGGGGTGAATTCTGAGATTAGTAGGTGTTTGGTGGAAGGAATGGGGAGGTCTGGAATGTCCTTGGGCATGCACAGTTATCTCATTATTGCATCTCATGGGTCACATGTGTGCCAACTGTAGGGTAGTTAGTATGAAATGTGGTAGATAGGCTGTGATGTCAGCAAGCTCATACTGTGCTAACTCCAGTTGGCCATCTTGGTTCCAACTGATTTCAGCCAGTTCTTCTATCTCATAAGTAGAGGGAATTTCAGTGTTTGGACAAATTTTTTTTTTTAGCTGCCATCCTGCACACTCAAGAAACCAGTGTTAGTCATTGGTTTCTTTAGCTCTTTGGAGCATGATTTCACTTAGAAAAAATTCAACCATTCCTTGTCATTTATACACTTCCTGTAAATTTATTACTGAACAGAATTGTCCTCTTTAATTGTCTGCCTCATAGTTTTGCAACTGCTGGGCCTAGATTGACTACTTGGCCTTGTATAGAAAGGCCTGCATTTCATTTATAAAGTCAGAGTATCTCTGAATATTAATACCAAAGTGCATAACAAGTAGAAAACCATGTTGCAAGATCTGTGGAACTTTTCTTCACGAGAACATTAAAGTCAAATGTGTTACTAGACATTGCCTAGGCTTTATTTGTGAAAAATGCTAATACAGGCATACCCTGTTTCATTGTGCCTCGCTTTATTGCATTTTGTAAATACTGTAATTTTTACAAATTGTAGGTTTGTGACAACCCTGAGTAAAGCAGGTCTGTCATCATCATTTTTCTAACAACATATGCTCACATCTTGTCTCTTTCATATTTTGGTACTTCTCACAATATTTCAAGCTTTGTCATTATTATTATATTTGTTCTGGTGATCTGTGATCTTGATGTTCCCATTGTAATTCTTTTGGGGTGCCATGAACTGCACCTATATAAGATGGTGAACTTAATGAATGTTGCGTGTGTCTGATTGCTCCACCAACTGGCCGTTCTCCATTTTTCTCTCTTTGGGTCTGCCTATTGAAATTAATCCCCTTAATAACCCTTGAGTGGCCTTTTAGTGTTCAAGCCAGAGGAAGAGTCTTAGGTCCCTTACTTTAATTCAAAAGCTAGAAAAGATTAAGATGAGTGAGGAATGCAAGTTGAAATAGCCAAGTTGTGAATGTAAAGGAAAAGTCCTTGAAAGAAATTAAACGTGCTATTCCAGTGAGCACACAAATGGTTAGAAAGTTAAAGATCTCATTGTAGATATAGAGAAAGTTTAAGTGATGTGTATAGGAGATAAAAACTTAGCCACAATATTCTTTTAAGCCAAAGGCTAATCCAGACCAAGGCCCCAACTCTAGTTCTGTGAAGGCCGAGAGATGAAAAAGCTACAGAAGAAAAGCTGGAGCTAGCAGAAGTTGGCTCATTAGGCTTAAGGAAGGAAGCCATTTCCATAACATAAAAGTACAAGGTGAAAGAGCAAGTGCTGATAAAGTAGTGGCTGCAAATTTTTTAAAAGATCTAAGATCATTGAAGAGAGTTGCTGCAGTAAACAATAGATTCTCAATAAAAGGCAAAACAGCTGTGTATTGGGAAAATATGTCACCTAGGACTTCTGTAATTTTAAGCAAGGTCAGTGCCTGGCTTCAGAGCTTCAAAAAGCAGGCTCTTTTGTTCAGGGCTAATCCAACTAGTGACTTGAAGTTGAAACCAGTGTCCATTTACCATTTTTAAAGTTGTAGTGCCTTAAGAATAATGCTAAATCTACTTTGCTTGTGTTTTATAAAGGAAATAACAAAGCCTGGGTGACAGTGTATCTTTTTATGGCATGGTTTACTAAATAATTTAAGCCCACGGTTGATGCCTACTGCTCAGAAAAAAAAAAAAAAAAGATTCCATTCAAGATATTACTATTCATTAAAAAGATAGCTGGTCACCAAATAACTCTGATGGAAATGTACAAGGTGATTAGTGTTGTTTTTATGCTTGCTGGCACTACACTTATTCTGCAGCCTGTGGATCAAGGAGCAATTCTGATTTTCAAGTCTTATTATTTAAGAAATATATTTCATACGGCCATAGCTGTTACGGATTGTAACTCATGTGATGGATCTGGGCAGAGTACATTGGAAACCTCCTGGAAAGGATTCACCATTCTAGATGCCATTAAGAACATTTGTGATTCTTGGGAGGAGATCAAAATATCAACATTAACAGGAGTTTGGAAGAAGTTGATTTCAACCTTAGTAGTTGTCTTTGAGGGGTTCAAGACGTCAGTGGACGAAGTAACTGCAATAGCAAGAGAACTAAAATTAGTAGCAGAACCTGAAGGTGTGACTGAATTGCTGCAATCTCATGGTTAAACTTAAATGGAGGAGTTGCTTCTTATAGATGAAAGTAGTTTCTTAAGATGGAATTTACTTCTGGTCAGGATGCTGTGAACATTATTGAAATGAAAACAAAGGATGTGGAATATTACATGAATTCAGTTGGTAAAGCAGTGGCTTGATTTGAGAGGATTGACTTAATTTGAAATAAGCTCTACTGTGGATAAAATACTGTCAGGTAGCATTGCATGTTGCAGAGAAATTTCTCGGAAAAAGAAGAGACCAGTGGATACAGCAGACTTCATTGTTGTCTTGTTTTAAGAAGTTGTCACAGCCACTCCAACCTTCAGCAACTCCACCATGATCAGTCAACAGCTGTCAACATCAACGCAAAGCCGTCCACCAGCAAAAGTCTTACTACTTGCTGAAGTGTCAGATAATTAGCATTTTTAGCAATAAACTATTTTTAGATTAATGTATGCCCATTTTTTTTTTAGACATAATGCTGCTGCACACTTAATACACTGCAGCATAATGTAAACCTAAGTCTTACAAGCACTTGGAAACCAAAAAATTTGTGTGATTTGCTTTGTTGGAATACTTGCTTAATTGCAGTGGTCTTGAACTGAGTCTGCAGTATCTAGGAGGTATGACTGTATTTGTTTTTGTTTGAATCTTGCCTCTCAAACTGCTTATTTTAAAGAAATGTTGAAGTTTTTAAAGGGATTTGCAAAATCAGAACTTTCTTTGGATATACAGAAAAAAATACTAATTGCTTATATTAATCCAGCTTCATGCTGAAAGGAAAAGTAATTGGTACTGTTACCTCCATACTGTGAAAGTATTAGAAGAAATAACAGTGATTATGGAGTAAATGTCTAATGCTGTCTTTTTTTTTTTTGTCCTGAAGTGCAGAAGCATGTTGACGTTTTTAAGGCACATTTCTTTATCATAGTATTTGTGTTTTTTTTTTTTCAGGTGTGGCAGTAGACCAAGCTAATTTATAGAGTTCTTGACGCCAAATTCTTAGCATTGGGAAAATGTAAATTTTATTTAATTCCCACACTTTTTCAACACACTTTCTCATAAATAATATCTGTGCTGTTGTGTTTTCAGTTATAGAGATGTGCTCTTTTAGGTTCCTTGGCTTCATCCTTTGATGACAAGATTATCTTGAGTTAAAAAAAAAACTTGTAAATTTGGTGTCTCATTTTGTTTTGGGATTTAAATAAGCTAAAGGCTATACAAATTTTCTTGAGATTTTTCCAGCTTATGCTAAGTTTGATATAAGCAAATGATAATATTAGTGAGCACTCTTTCACAGTGATTATGACAATTTTACATTATTGAAAAACGAGGCTGGGCATGGTGGCTCATGCCTATAATTCCAGCACTTTGGAATGCTGAGACAGATGGATCATTTGAGGTTGGGAGTTTGAGACCAGCCTGGCCAACATCAAGACCCTGTCTCTACTAAAAATGTAAAAATTAGTGGGTGCCTGTAATTCTAGGTTTTTGGTGGGAAAATCTCTTGAACCTGGGAGGCAGAGGATGCAGTAAGCCAGTACTGTGCTAAAGTACTCCAGTCTTGGTGACAGAGCAATACTCCATCTAAGAAAGAAAGAGTGAAAGAAAGAAGGGAAGAAAGAAGGGAGGGAAGGAGAAAGGGAAGGAATGTAGAGATTTACTGTTCTCTTATCCTTTGCGATTAAGTAAGCTAATCAGTTATTAAGTAAGCTTAATAAGTTGCTTTTTAAATGAATTATAAAAAAGCATTTTCAATTTTGTACCCACCTCATGGATTTCTTAAAGCCTGTTCATAGTTTTCCAGGTAAAAATCTATACTAAGTGCTCTCTCTTGGCAATCTTGTCTGCTATCATTGTTTTGACTACTATGGTATAACCCATAATACCCAGATCTCTTATCTCTAACGTAAACCTCTTCTTGTAGCTTCACATCTGTTACTCACATAGACACTAGCAGGATCTGACTAAAATACTGTAGTGACCATGTCTTGTCTGCTTACAAATTGTCTAGTGACCACCTAAACAGGTTAAATACAAACTCTTAACAGGCATTTAAAACTGTTAATTACCCTTCTTAGGTAAAACCTTTCCAGCTTAATCTTTTGTTATTTTCGCTTATACTTTGTACTTTTAAGTTTTCTTACTTTGCCAATTCCCAGCCGGAGTAGCAGTCCCCAGCATCATTGACATGTTACTGAAAAGAAATGGCTACTCTGTTTTCCCCTGGGTGTTGGAGCTTTGCTGAAAAAAAAAAAAAAAATCTCTGTCAGTTGAGGTATTTCTAACATCATGTTATTTAAATTTAGCAGGTCTTTAATTGTTGCTTGTAGAATTTTTCCACCTTTCTTAATGCTTTTATTCCACTGCATTTCCAGACTTCCTTCAGTTTTTTAGTTCATTCTGCTGTTACACTCTCCCTCTCTCTTTTAATCCTCTGATTTTTTAAAAGTTTGTTTTTGCTGAGGTTACATGATCTCCACCCTACTTTTTCCTTCATACACCTTAGAAGAGGTTAATCTTATGTTATTGTCCCTTTTCACCATTTACGTAACATTGTATTTAATATCCATAACTTGATTTTAATAGTTTTCTTTGCCGAAAGACTCTAATATCTTACTCTTGGCTTATTGATCTTGGTAATGTTTGTGGAACTGGAGGTAGGCTTATGGAAAAGAGAGCATATCTGTTCAAATTCTGTTAGACGTTTTGGTCTTTTTTAAAAGAATAATTTTTACCGATTTTTAATTCATCCTTCCACATTTATTTAAAACATATTTATAGCCTGTAATTCCAGCACTTTGGGAGGCCGAGATGGGTGGATTACTTGAGACTAGGAGTTCGAGACCGGCCTGGCCAACCAGGGAGAAACCCCATCTCTAGTAAAGACACAGAAATTAACTGGGTGTAGTGGTGCACATCTGTAATCACAGCTATTAAGGAGGCTGAGGTATGGGAACCACTGGAACCTGGGAAGCGGAGGTTATAGTGAGCCATGATCATGCCACTGTACTCCAGCCTGGGTGACAAAGCAAGACTGTCTCAAATAAATAAATGTATAGATAATAAAATAAAATACTTAAAGTGCTTTAAACATTTTTTCCCAATACATTTACTTTTTCCTCCTCAGTTCTTTTTAGTCAATTATTTTTGAGTACTTGTATATCGTATAGTCATCTTAAAAGAATTTTATTGAATTTATGCTCAGATTATCTTTTGTTTCAAATTTGCATAAAGGTAAATTAATTATCACAAGTGGTACGTAAGATAGAAGTTGGGTAAGAATGCTTAGAATCCTATTGGACAGTCTTCCAGGAATCCTGAGGGGGTGGAATTGGGGGTAGGGGCAGTAAACTTCTGTGGGTCATGGAAGAGGATGATGGAGAGAGATTTTTGTGAAAGGGTGGTCAAGTATTTCTCTCTCTGTCAATTTGATGGAAGAAAAGAAAGGTTAATTGAGATAATACATAACACTCAAGGGGAAGAATATGCATTTTTTGTGTGTATTTTCAGCACTTGTCTAAATAGAGAAAATTAAGCAATACTAAATTGGTAAGATTACTAAATGATAAACCCAGTAGGAATATAGTGGAACTTCTTGTTACATTTTAATTGGTGAAAAGTCAGTGGATGTTAATTTTAGGTAACAGATTGCCATTACTCCTTTCATTAAAACTGACATTTTGGTCAAAAGACTGGTGTTTTTCTTAACATGAAAAATATGTGAAGCACCTTTATAGTAGAATGTAAAACACAGTGATTCATAAGAATGATAGGAGTTGTGTCGGTATTGTGAAACATACTGTGATTTTACTTTTGTTATATAATCTACCTACTGTAGTGTACTTAAAATTATTTTTGTACTAAATGCTGGTCAGAACCAAATGTTGCTTCAGTTTTCGGAAGATAATCAAATGTAGTGAATACATTGATTCAATTTGTGAAATTTAGAGAAATTAATTTGAACAAATGCTCTAAAGCATTTTTTTACGCAACAAATCCCTAATGTTTCCAATGTGTCAGGCGGTGGTATAGACCAGCTTTCTAGGAGTCATAGTCTGCTACAGCTCTTACTTCACTTCCCACAGATATTCAGTGGTGTGCTCCTTATTCCTTTCTTTCCCCAAACAGTTGTTACAATCATGTCTTTGATTATTCCTTTTTGCTGTAATAATTTGTGTTACCACTCATTCTCTCCTGACCATACTATTTTAACAACTTTCAACTGGTCTACCTTCTAGCCTGATTCACACTGATGCCAGGATAATCCTTGGAAAACACAAATATGATCCTGATACTCACCTGCATAATAATCTTCAGTGATCCTCATTACATACCACTTTGCTTAGTAAACTGTAAAGGGCCTTTCACAATTTTTTCTTATTTTTTCATCCTTACGCTTTCACCTCACACTCAAAATTACCTTGCAGGCTGCTTGCAGTTCTGTGAACTACTCACATTGTTTCACATTTTCATGCCTTTGAACATACTTTACTCTACAGTTGTAATATGGAATGCCCTTTTTAAAATAATATTATTATTAAAGTAAGAATTTGAATACTATCACCAGCAAAAATAGTGTTAGTAGCTAAATCCCTAACCATGTGCCCGACACTGTTTTATCTCTTCACCCTCATTTAGTTTTGTAACGATACTATGAGGTAGGCATAGATGAGAAATCTGAGACACAGGAAGTTTTATAGCATATCCAAAGTCATATATTTGACCTTGGAGACTGTTCTCTAAGCTGCTACATTACATTGCCTCTTCTTGCATGAGACTGTTCAAGCATCACTGCTTCTGAGTTCCTTTCAACACCCTACTCTCCATCTCTCAGGAAAAGTAGACTGTTTCCTTGTTTGAATCTCTGTTGATTAACAATGGCTAAACACTTAGGACATGTTAGGCTATATTAACTACATTTATATTCTTTGTCTTGCTTCACAAGGACAGGAATACTGTGTCTGTATATCTCATTCATATGTCTTTAGTGGTTGTCACATACCTAATCACAAGGCAAAGGGATAAATGAATGAATGAATCACTTAATTTTAAAAGTATAGGGAACCTTATGGCCATCCAATTTAACCTCCTTATTTTATTGATGAAAAGCCTCAGGTGAG